GTCTTGGGTGCTCAGTTTGCCCGCCGATTTCAGGACTCTGCGTCGTTTTTTCTCCCGGCGCAGAGCTGAAACAAAAAGATTGAAAGTACAAGTGGTGCGATGCAGGTGCAATGCAGCTTCACCAAAAAAAACCTGAGATGGGAAAGATGAAGGTGCAAGTGGCATGATGGAATGTCAATACAGCTTCACCAACACAAACATGGCACACAAGGATGAAATTGAACCAGCCTGGGCCTTGACTTCTCGACTGGTTTGCTGCAGCTGGCGTTTCAAGGCCTGCCTTTCAGCTTTCAAAGCAGCTATACGGTCATCCATCCCGGGCACATGGGCTACAGCAGCACCTTCCGCAGCATCCCTTTCCATACCAGCGGCGGCAGACGACATGGCTATAGATATAGTCAAATTGTGTTTTCTGCGACGAGCTGTGAGCCGTGCTAGCTGCAGAAGCCATGCCGTCTGGACAGCTTCCATGCCAATTTTCTCAAACTGCACAACTGGAAGATAGTGTGACAAAACATGGCCGGTGGGGGCCCAAAACTGGGGGCTTGAAAAGTGATGCCAAAGGGACTCCCGTACCATGTACCCCCATAGTATTATGGAAAAAAAATCTTTGTCCTATAGTGCCACCCACGTCTGCAAATCTTTTGGATCCACCCGGAGCGGCAGCATCAAAGAAAAAGAGCCTTATACGCGTGCGCCATTTGGCGTCGCGCTGGCCAAACGCACTGCATCTGCTGGGGTGTCGGCCTGTCAGGCCCAGGCCAAGGCACCCCTGCACCCATCAAGTGTTGAAGCGCTTTGTGCACTTGACCTGGGCCATTGCAGCCCACTGCATCGAAGCTTTTCTGCCATTGCCGAGCTGCCCAAAATTCGTGTGGGGCTTGCATGCACTGCCATAGCCAGGCCAGAGGAGGCACTAAACCATGCTCTGAATATGAGCGCAACTCCTGGTGCTTCCTTTTCAAATATTGTTTAAAAGGGGAGAAGCCTTGCAGATCAAGCGGCTGTAGGTAATCCGTTGTCTGCGCTGGGATATATACAAGCTGCAGCTTGCACTTGCGTGCCATTGCCATGACCTGCCGTGGCAGGTGTGCCGGCGCACAATCAAGGAGTACAACGCCTTGTTTTGACGGAAAACTTTTCAGCACTTCTGCGATCTCTTTGAGAATTTGGGCACTGTTGGCAGCAGAGGTCCAAGCGGACTTTTGCCGCAAAACACGCAAACGAGTTTGTGGCAAAGCGCGCTGGGCGCGCAAGAGCTTCTTCGTGAGTTTCACCTGGGTGCCAATGAGAAAATGAGGCAACTTCCCTTGGATGTGCTTGCAGTTGCAAATCACGCTGACATAAGTAAGTCCACGCACCTCGAACATGTTGCTTCAGCACCTGTGCATGCGGCTGTTTGCCCCCTGCTGTCCGTGGCTTTGCCACACATCCAATAGGCGGTGTCATGGTGTGGCCGACGCTAGTCTCATCCAGATTTATAAAAAGCAGCTCCCTGTCCGCGAACCTGCTGTGGCAATAGCAGATGGTCCGCCAAAATGTCATGACCTGCTCGAGCGCTGCAGGAAGTGAAAGACAAAGCCTTATTATATATAGGGTCCCCAAATATAATTCCGAGGGAAGAAATTGATTGAAAATGGGGGCCTATTTTTGGTGCCAGATTCTGGCCCCAAAAATGGGACCGCCCAACCGGGATTAAGTAGGCTTATACAGGCATGAAACATGAGGGGGACCCATTTTTGGGGCCACATTCCGGCCCCAAAAATGGAGCCACCCAACCCAAAAAAAGAAGACAAAATGTTGTAAGTTGGCTGGCCCGCGCCTTGTCGCGCAGTACAGCGGGGTCTCTGCTAACAACTTGCTTCAGCACCTTCCGGCGGACGCCCCACCGAGCCCGCCAGCGCTGCACCCACTTATTGACCATGCGTTTGTTTGGCACACCCATGTCCAGCTTCTGGCCATGGAAGGCCTCCTCCCACTTCAAAAACGTGTCCATCGCAGAAGGTGCTTGACAATGATTCGTATTGCAGTCATAGACCCACTGCTCCGTGGCTGCTTCGGCCAGGAAGGCTTGCGCTTTGCGTGAAGCTGTGTCATCCAAAGCGGTCAAATCTGGCAGCGGCGTCGTCAGCAACATCTCTTGGATCAAAGCTGCCGTGGGTACCCATTGCTGCCATAGGATATCGTTGTCAAAGCACAAGCCATGCGGAGAGTCAAATCCATGTTAAAATTCGACAGCATGTAAACAGCTACCACAGTTTTGCGGGCTGCCACTCCAAGGCCGGCACAGTGCAACCTTTTCCATTTTTTGGCATTCTGCCGATAAGCCGCTTTCAGTGCTTTGCCATTCTGCACCAAGGCTTCCTTCAAGTCTGACACCCTGGCATCAGATGTGCCTTCGGCCACACCCACGCTGCATGACTGACCGCAGAAAAACTATCTGTCGGCAGACTCATTGAAAACATTCGTGTCATGTCAAACCAATCTGTCTGATACAGCTGAATTCGAATGGAAGCAAGGAAGATGACCTAATGAGTGCGGCCAAAGCATGGCCTCGGCATTTCAAAGCATACAAATTCATGTCTGGCTCATGCAAAAAACAAAAACTATATTGCTGTTGCATGCAGTCAGCGCGGCAAGACTTGATTCATATGGCTGCGTCCAGGAAAAAACATCGAGGAGAGGCGACCTGTGAGGAGCAGGCAAGACCGAACAATGATGATGAGCCGTCCAATCATGTGGGTTTGTGTTATGACACTGTTATGGAAAAACACTGCTGGTTATCTCTCCACATCATGCAGGTTTGTGTTGTCACAAGGAGGGCCCTCAATGAAGAGGGCTGAAAACAGCGTCCGTTAGCGACCCCAAATTCAGACCTTTTGCACACACAGCACGAGGCCCCACGTATAGGGTCAAAGCAGCGGCTCCCCCCCCGCACCCCCAGGATCAATGTTGTTTCCTGGTGTTAATCACTGCAGCAGCCATCTTCCAAAGCGTCAGGTCTTCACAGCAAGACATTTTCGTCAACCTTGATTCCGGGGGGTGCAGGGGGGGGCCAACATGTGGCCGGAAAGGCCCTTTGAATTAGGAAGAAACACATGTGCCGTCACTCCAGGTGGCACATCACAGCTGCAAGACCCCGTGATGTTTGTGTGTGTGTGTGAAAACTAACAATGATCAATGGCGATGTCAATCTTTGCATTGGCTCCACTGCAACACTAGCATGCTTCGGTGTGGGAACTACTAAGCACGATGTCACAACTTTATATTGGCTCTGCCGCAAAACTACTATGCTTCTGTGTGAAAACTACTAAGGGGAATTTCAAACTTTGTATTGGCTCGGTGGCAAAACTACTAAGGAATTGTTCAATGGACAAAAAAGGAAACACTTTCTTCTATTTCTTTTCAATTGGCAGAAATCCTTAGTAGTTTTGCGTCCAAGCCATTGTGATTTCAATTTCACGGGTTAGTAGTTTTTCATGCGTGCATGAGCTGTGACTCTGCCGTGCCAATACAAAGTCTGCGAAAATGGTTGGAAGTATCCTTAGTAGTTTTTTGGGGCCACAGCAAAAACAGGTGCCAAAGCACGCAAAAACGTGTTTTTGATGCCTTGGGAGACAGCAGTCGTTAGGTAACCTGCCGCGTGTGACTTCACCACATTCCTGTCTGACTCCTTTAGAGACAGCAGTCTCAAGCGCTTCAGTGAGACATATAGTTTTGAGGAAGCTGCTGCTGACTCCTCGGGAGACAGCAGTCACAAGTGCTTCAGTGAGACATATAGTTTTGAAGAAGCTGCTACTGCTGACGGGTCATTTTGAAGGCCAGGAGCCACGAGAGGTCTTGGGTGCTCAGTTTGCCCGCCGATTTCAAGACTCTGCGTCGTTTTTTCTCCTGGCGCAGAGCTGAAACAAAAAGATTGAAAGTACAAGTGGTGCGATGCAGGTGCAATGCAGCTTCACCAAAAAAAACCTGAGATGGGAAAGATGAAGGTGCAAGTGGCACGATGGAATGTCAATACAGCTTCACCAACACAAACATGGCACACAAGGATGAAATTGAACCAGCCTGGGCCTTGACTTCTCGACTGGTTTGCTGCAGCTGGCGTTTCAAGGCCTGCCTTTCAGCTTTCAAAGCAGCTATACGGTCATCCATCCCGGGCACATGGGCTACAGCAGCACCTTCCGCAGCATCCCTTTCCATACCAGCGGCGGCAGACGACATGGCTATAGATATAGTCAAATTGTGTTTTCTGCGACGAGCTGTGAGCCGTGCTAGCTGCAGAAGCCATGCCGTCTGGACAGCTTCCATGCCAATTTTCTCAAACTGAACAACTGGAAGATAGTGTGACAAAACATGGCCGGTGGGGGCCCAAAACTGGGGGCTTGAAAAGTGATGCCAAAGGGACTCCCGCACCATGTACCCCCATAGTATATAATATATATTGTATGTAATTGATGGCTACATATACATACTATATATGCATCAATCTAGGTTAGATCGATATGAATTGTTGATTCATCATTTTCGGTTTACATACATTTACACTCGTCCATCCAATTTATGTTGTCATCATCACATATTTTTCTAGTTATGTTTTCAACATATTTCAAATATATCATCATATTAGAATATTGTTGCTGATACACCTATTGTATCTCCAGAAAGTGGTTGGATCAGGTTGGATCCTCTCGTTTTTGTTATTTTTTGTTGATATCCAAGTATATCCCCATCATATCTCCATTAGTATATAACCATTATCAACAATTCTCAACAATTCTGAACTGTTCGGCTGACCATTATATCCACCCATAATGAACCAGAAATACATCCCATATCCCCGCAATATTCCCATTGTGTCCCCATCAACCCCGCATATAAATCCAAAAAAATCCCGATAAATCCCAAAACCCCGTATATCCCTAAGCCTTCCCTGGAAATAGGAAGATCCTATTACAGTATTCATGGTCATTTGGAAAGTTCGTCCCTAATTTTTGCTGCAGGAGGCGTCTCCTCGATTGCCGCCGGTGAAGAATTGACCAGCGAACCGGAGCTCACCACGATAGGTCACCCTGAAAATCCTGTCCTTTCTTAGATACAATTTGATGTTATACATACGTGTGTGATCGTGTGTGTATGTATATGTATATATATATATACATATATATATGTGGGGGTTTCCATAAATGCGGATATATACAACAAAATAAATTGTTTATAAGCTTATAATGGAAAATTTCATTCCAATGGATGATTTAGGGATACCCCCTATTTTAGGAAACCCCCATGCACAGACCGGTCAGTCAGACGAGTTTTCTGAGATGAGGCAGTTGGCACTGGCACCTTCAAAACCTGGGGAAAAATGCGCTGTTGCCGTGGCAGTGCATGTCGATACATGCCCCAGCGGGGACACATTGATTTCAAGCATAGCACTTATTGAACATATATATATATATATAATGAGAATAAAACCTTTCACATTCCACTCTACCCAGGCTACGCCCATCATACATCCCCATTTTGATTCAGTAAATTTCTACCGTACCTAAAATCAAAGCAAATCGCACCTCAGATTTAGGCACATAGTACCATTTTTCCGTCCCATCGCACCGTACCTTCAAATTGCATTGCACCATGGACCGTGCCTACGTTGGAGAGTGCTGCTTCACAGCACTCTTGTAAAAACAAAACTTACACAAGTTTATGCTATATATATATATACATATATAGATATCCTCTATATATATATATAATTATACACATATATACACACTATGTACCTATTGTGGGCTTGTCATTAAACCTGGGGGCATGACTTAAATCTTAAACAAATATGGCCACTGTTGGATCTGGAATTGGCAGATGTTGTTCAGTATGGGAAACTCTCCAAAGTCAGCTGTAAATTGGTGAATCATTCTTAAGAACAACAAGCTATATGAGTTTATCATAGTTTATAACAATTCGAAAAGGTATATGCCATGTGGTAAACCCAAAATGACTCCCAAATGTTCAGACTTTGTTTAACATTTTGTGATATTTTGTGTTGGGTGTTTACCACATTCTTGGGAGCGTCGCACCAAATGATGCCCAGAGTTGGATCTTTGTAGTTTCAAGTCAAAGAAATATGAGGAGTTTTTCAATGGTCATTTCAGGAACTAGCTCGAATTTTATCCTGAAATTCCCAGTGAATGACCCAAACGTGAGAAGATTGCCACAATGGGAGCTCTGGGAGTGTTGGGATCTTCTTGGCAGAACACCTTTTAGTCGACTTCACGGCACCGTCGCAGAAAATCATTGATCATTTGATCATATTTGATCGATATACCTGGAGAAACCAAACCCTACAAAGTAACTGGTAAGATCGCTGTGTTGAGAAATTCCATATGAATTTTATATTCATCACATATTCATCATATTTCATCTATAGGTTGCTAAATGAAGTTTCCTTCAGACAGTGCTGGGTCGAAGACGGCAATGCATTCCGCTTTTTTGGCGATGGCGATATGCGCCAGAGGTGTCGTCAACCATTCGGCCCACAGTGGGATGCATAGCAGTAAAAAGATAAGCCGTGCGTGGCTTCATGGTGTTGGGTTTCGGGAAGTTATGAGAAGTTATATGCATGAGCAGGGACACTAACTTACACTAACCCTGGTTGATTTATGGTCACACATAATCATATAAAATTAAAATCATATAAAATCATATTAAATATAAACTACGTGCATTTTCTGATTGGTCTCCTTTAGATTTTGATCATGAGTTATGCGAATCCCTATCAAAAGAACAGTCCAACCAATCCACACTGAGTTTTCGGCACCTGCTCAAAAGACGTTGAGAATCAGATAGAGGTGGAATTCCCTGTAAAACCCATCATCATAAATCTGTAACCCCATAAATGGGAAATTTCAAGGCACTGAAGACATTGGAACCATTTGGAACCCATGAAAAAATCCATCAGACTTTCATGCCAATAAACCATGGAAGTCGGATGGATTTTCCGGCCACCAAGCTGGCTCGGCTAAAACCCTGCTACTCGTCAGGATAATGTGGTAGGCTCAAATACAGGAGGAAATATTTGTTTATAGGATTTTTATGGATTTTTTTAGGTAAATATGTATATATATATATAATATATATAATATATATATAATATAATATATAAATATATATATATATATATAATCTATAATATATATATATATAATATATATATATATATATAGAAGACTCCCAAGCCCTGTGAAGATTCTATGGATCCTATGGCTGTACCATTTAGCATCCCTGGCCACGCAGATCGTGAGTTCAAGCCTAGTCTACCTTTTCGATGCTCGCCTCGGCGTCCATCGGGCCTTGGGTGGTCTTTAAAACGGGGAATGCCTCCCAAATGACCGGTAAATAATGGGGGAACATGATGTTCTCGGCATTTTTTTCGGGGGTAGCCTATTTTCAGACAAGCCCATTTGTAATATCTTATAATATTATAACATTTATACAATGGGATTGGGATAACTATCACAAAATGACCTTCTTTCAGGTTAGTGAATTATTGTGTTGCAATTTATGTCGACTTATCACCGGATTGCGATTTGATTTTAAGTAAACCTATAAGTTCCGGGTCTACTTTAATTCATTCAATGACTGACTGCAGGACCACTGAAAGGAATATATATATATATGCAGCCGGGGCAAGTGTTTTGTGGGGGTGCACTGTGCAACAATTCAAAATAGTTTGTAAGCAATAGTAAACCCTTCCAAATTCACCATCAATGGGGCCACGCTGTCGTGACTGATATTTCCATGATTTTCTTTCTTATGACGCCATGAATGTCTCAACTGCAAACAAAGTTGCAGTGTTCATCAATTTCGTATTTTTAGACTTAACCTATAATGTGGGTAAAACAATCATAAACCATCCCCCAAATCTCCATGTTTCTAGGTGGTATGGTTTCCATTCCCAGTCATGGGTGGCAAAAATGGCATTGTTTTACCCACATGAATGATGTTTGGTATATAATTATTGATGATTGATAACTATTCATGCTATTGGTAATGATTTATTATGACCTGTCATTAACTACCAACATTATGTGGTAGCTTGATTATTAATAATTGGCAACTTGATTATGAACTATCATTAGCACTTTTATTATATAATAGTACCAATAGTTATAAATTATATCAATCACCATTAAATATATAGCTAATGTTATTAACATCTACAGTAGTAACATCTATGAACTATATATTGGTTACCTACATTAACTATCATCAACCATTATTGTTTTACCCACATCATTACCAAGTGCCATAAACAAACGAAGCTCCTGACTCCCAACTTCGCCGTGAACCCAGGAGTCTGACCTCTGTGATCAGCTGCTTGCCATGTTGGCCGTCTACCGATAAAAAGTTGAGCAGTGCCAAAAACCCACAAAAGCCATTGGTTGATTGTGGTTTATTATGGTTTATTATGGTTTATTATGGTTTATTATGGTTGATTGTGGTTTATTATGGTTTATTATGGTTTATTATGGTTTATTATGGTTGATTGTGGTTTATTATGGTTTATTATGGTTGATTATGGTTTATTATGGGTTATTCTTCTTCACATTGGGGTTCTAAGCCTATTGAAAAGGGATAGAGTTGGGACCTTTCCCTTTTAGGACAGGGGCATCTTTGGTATCTACTTTATCTACGGGTTGAATGGTCGGAACCCACTATTCATCAACCAACCAGTGGGAACATGGGTGGGAAATGTACGTATGAGAATCGACTGGTTTACACATTAATATATATAATATATAATATATAATATATATATATATATATTAATAAGCACTATTGTTCGTTATCCTTTTTGTGTCGTGCATTTACAATCTCCATCTCCGCAGGTATTTAAATGGGTGTGTCTAACAATGAGGGTATAAAACGAACCCAAGATGGGAGTACACAATGGAGATATGATGGGCAGATGACCAACAATCTCATCCAATTGATAGGGAAGCCAGTGGTGAACAAGGCTATATACCCCAATCCCAATTTGGGAAACACCCAGGAACTAACATAGACCCTAAGAATTGGCCAAACTGGAAGGCAGAGTTCCTGTCAGCGCAAATCACCCTGGGAAGTTGCTTGTAAGATCTTGTAAGCTCAGTTTTGGAATGTTTTGGTGATGCACACATCAACGTTGGGGTACATACAGTACGCATCCAGGCTCACGGCTTCTCAACGATTGCTGACTTTGCACCTTTTCACGACTCTCTTCTCGCATGTTGCAATTTTCAAGGGACCATCCAATGGGTTGAGGAAAGCTAAGGCTCTGAAACACAGGTGGACAATCTATTTTTGGGCATCCAATGTGAAGCCTTCCCACATGAAAACTGCATAAAGCTCAAGCGTTTTCAAATGGATCAGAATCATAATCGTAACATACTCGATTGTTTCTGTCCTCAGCGTCAAGAAACCTGTGAAAACCCCTCTTACCAGTATGCCCTGCTTTGTTCTTTTTAATACACCCGGTTGTTTCCTTGTGAAACCACCATTCACTGCTGACATTTTGGACCATTTTAGAACAAAAACAAGTTTGTCAGGTTTACCTTACCTGCAACACGCAAGAAGGTGGAATTGCTGAACTGTTTTTGAGATGTTTTTCTTGCCCGACAGGATTCTTTCAAACAGAGTATATAGTGTGGTAAACGCAATAACAAACCTGCCATTTGAGGATAATGTGTTTCACCACCCATGTCTGGAAAAAGTTGGTCAACTCACTCATCAGAAATTTCATGCAGTCTGAATCTGAAGACACCTTCAAGGCCAACAGTGAACCCTTGCAACGGTCAATCAACAGACCGAATCTTGATGGTTTAGCCCCTATTTTGCTGGTAAGAAGCCTAGCTTTGTTAACCCCTCAATCTTTGGCCGTGGCTGAGCCCAGGTCAGGTCTAGGCTGTGCAGGACCTGGTGCCTTTAGTGTCTGAGTCCTCAGTGGGCAGGCCATGACGACCCCCATGGCGGACCATCCTGGATGCAACCCAGTGGCGGTCAAAAAGCAAGTTTGAGAAATTTCAGCTGCTGTTGAAGTTGATAT